AAAAGACACAAAAATTAACAAGGACAAAAACTGTAAGTACATTCGAAGCAGGAAGCCTGCCAAATAATCAGTGGGGCTACTGTATGATCGAGGTGCTAAAGGCACACTCAAGGAAGACAAGGCTGTTGCAGAGAAGAAAATGAATTCTTTGCATCCATCTTCACTGCAGAGGATATGGGGCAGATCCCACACCTGAGACATTCTTTTCAAGTGACAAATCTGAGTAACTGTCCCAGATTGAGATGTCACTAGAGGAGGTTTTGCAACAAACATAAACAAAACAGTAATAAGTCACCAGGACCAGATGGTATTCACCCAAGAGTTCAGAGGGAACTCAAATATGAAATTGTAGAACTGGTACCTGTGGTATGGAACATATTGCTTAAATCAGCCTCTGTACCAGATGACTGGAAGATAGCTAACGTAATGCTGATTTTTAAAAAAGGATCCAGAGGCAATCCTGGCAATTACAGGCAAGTGTAACTTCAGTACCAGGAAAATTGGTTGAAACTATAGTAAAGAACAGAATCAGCAGACACACAGATAAACACGATATGTTGGGAAAGAGTCAACATGGTTTTTGTACCAGTAAATCATGTCTCACCAATCTATTAGAATTCTTTGAGGGTATCAACAAGCATGTAGGGAAGGGTGATCCAGTTTATATATTGTACTTGGACTTTCAGAAAACCTTTGACAAGGTCATTCACTCTTAAGCAAAGTAACCAGTCCTGGGATAAGAGGGAAGATCGTCTCATTGACCAGTAACTAGTTAAAAGATAGGAAACAAAGGGTAGGAATAAATGGTCAGTTTTCACAATGAAGAGACGTAAATAACTGTGTCCCCCAAGGATCTGCGCTGTCACCTGTGCTGTTCAACCTATTCAGAGATGGTCTGGGAAGTGGGATAAACAGTGAGGTGAGTAAAGTTTGCAAACAATACTAAATTACTCAGGATAGCTAAGACCAGAGCTGACTGTGAAGAGTTACAAAGGGATCTCACAAAACTAGGTGACTGGGCAACAAAATGGCAGATGAAATTCAATGTTGATGAATGCAAAGTAATGCACATTGGAACATATATTTCCAGTTATACATACAAAATGATTGGCTCTAAATTAGCTGTTACCACTAGATTAAAAGATACCCTACCCAACTACACTATAGTCTGGTGGTTAAAGTACTCCCCTGAAAGGTGGGAGACCTAGCTTCAAATCCCTCCTTCCTGTCCCTGGAGAAGGGGAATTTGAACATGCATCTTTCATACACTGGGCTAAAAGTTAATAAGAGCACCACTGCCACCTTTTTGTATGTGTGCATGTGCAAAAGAGGGCTTAGGCACATAACTCCTGGAGAATTCACAGCCATGTATCCTGAGCAGAGGGAGGTGCCTCCCTACAGCCCAGATTTAGAGGTGCAGTGTTTAACATACATCTCCTCTCCTCTGCATTTTGTGTTGGCTAGCTTAGTTTGCTCCCCTCTCAGTTTTCTTGCTTTTGTGAATCCCATTATTAGGTGGGTAAGTAGGGGTGCCTAACTTGGGGCTGTGGATTCCAAAAGGAAGCAAGGTGCCTAAACATTAGGCATTGCATTATTGTGCCTCAGTCCCCTTTGTGGATCTAGCCCTATCTAAAAAACTTTTCCACAAACCCTCTTACTGATTAGTCTTTTACCTTCTATCACTTCTTGCTTCTAAATCTGTTTTGGGACATGTACCTTATTTCTAGCCACCAGAATTTTATACATCCGTTATGTTGCTTCATAAACTCTTTTCTGATTAGTTATAATTAAACCGAACTGTCCTAACTTATCCTCATAGTTATAAACCCAGAGAACCTTTATCATCCCTGTTGTCCTTTACTATCTCTTTTCTAGTTCTTCAATAATCTGTCTGAAATATGATGCCCCAAATTGTTCCCAGTATATCACTTGGGGTCTGCTCTTTCCACACCTAGTTCAATGCCCTAATTAGGTCTTTTGATTTTTCCTCTGTTCATCTATTTATACATCCATTTGCTTTCCTGAAACCAGACACAGACGAGATACTTTTAATATTCTCACCTCTTTCTAATCTAATGTCTACCAATATGCCTGGTATTTCTAAGGTGTTTATCACTTTACTATCTAGGCACTGCATAACAATTAAGAAGCATTGAACATACCTGCACAAAGTTATGATTGCATTGTCTTCCCTTTTGCCCAGTGGACAGTTTTTGGAATTGTTTTGGTTTTCTCCCCATCTCTCTTCTTCTTCCAGATCCTTTTCTTGATCAATGTCTTGCTATGATTATGGCCATAATGATCCGGTTGACATTTCAATCCTATTCTCATTTCTTTAGCTTGTATCCCTTTAAACCCATCAAGTAACCTTGTATTCACTGTCCCTTTTCTTAGGTGTTGGCCTTCCCAGTTTCAGGTCATATGAAAATGTGCAAGTCTTGCTAAACATTCCCTTCACAGGTCATTTATGCATAATGTGAACAAGGTTGGGTCTAACATTGATCCTTGTTGCATTCTACTTGTCGCCTCCCTACTATCTGATCAGTAACCATTTATACCTCTCTGTGGTCTCAGTTAATAAGTCAAGGTTTCAGAGTAACAGCCATGTTAGTCTGTATTCGCAAAAAGAAAAGGAGTACTTGTGGCACCTTAGAGACTAACCAATTTATTTGAGCATAAGCTTTTGTGAGCTACAGCTCACTTCATCGGATGCATACTGTGGTTTGGGGTTTTTTATCTCACTATTTTACCATCAATACCATACTTGTCCACTTTATCTGTTGTGGTGTAAGCCTTCCTGAAATCCAAGGAAATTAGGTCCACTGCTTCACTTTTTATTCTCAGTCTCTTTCTTAAATAAATTAATAATTTCTTAAAGAGACAATGCGGGTGAAGTAATATTTTTTTATTGAACCAACTTCTGTTGGTGAAAGAGAAAAGCTTTTGAGGTTAACACAGAGCTTATTCTTTAATTTCTTTAAGTGCAGTCTGCTCCAAAAAGACACTAGGTAAAAAGAAGACACCTTTTCATTCAACATTTCTTTCATTTGTGTATTCAGAGTTGTATCTACTTACATTAGTGACAAAAATAAGTTTTTGGTATGTTTTACTCTTGTCTTGTTAGCCATACAGACCCAATGCAGTTAGGAGGGCGAGAAGAAGATTCTATTCCTTCTTGTGCACCACTAATAGAATTGTTCACTTAGTTCCTGATAGTTACAGCTATGCAACCCACTGAAAGCAATATGTTTGTATAGATGTCACTGAAGGCAGAATTTAAGATGAAAAGGTAACACAAGTATAATGGAAGGTCTAATTGAGCCTACAGAACTTGTATTCATCTGTATATGTAAAAGGCATATCCACACATTACATTTTATTGTGCCAGTTCATGTTATTTTATAAGCTATTCAAGTTTTGTTAATGTGTAAAAAGAAGGGAAATCTTGGATATCTGTCAGAGGTAGATATACTCAAGCATTTTGATCTACCCACGATAGGGTTTCATAATGTCTTTGAATTTCTATCCTTAGTCCATTTGTCATTGTTGTCAACTTATGACTCAATGACAGATTGGTACCTGGTATGATGTCTCTCTGCCATATTTCTGCCAATATTCCATTATTGTTGTTCAATGGTGAAGTAGTTTGTAAGTTGTTTTTTAGCAGTCTAACTTTTGCTGTTTTTCATCTGTTATTTCCAGGGACTTATATATTGTTGTTTGTAGGTTTTGGTCTAAAGTCTTGAGCATAATTCAGTTTGGGGTGAGGTTGTTTGTTCTCTTGGTTTGGAGGTTAATTTGTTGAGGCATGGGAGTGATGTTACACAGGAATTGAATATAATTTTGTTTGGATTTAGATTTTGATTCCCAAATGCTTTGCAGGTGAAGTAGTGTATGTTTTTGGTTTACACGGCATCAGAAACTGAATGTAAGGATGTAGAGGATTCTACTCAGAGGCCAGCAGACCTAGTGGGCAGGCTGTGGCTCAACAGTCTTTCCACTCCCAAAATTCCAGGACAGACTTGCCTGATGGTCAGCAGGCCCAGCAATCAAATTGTGGTCCATCAGGGACCAGGGGGAAGGGGGAAAAGCAAGGGGACCAGGGGGAAGGGGGAAAAGCAAGGGGACCAGGGTTCTCCCTCTCCACTGGGTCATGGCCCAAGGCATGGAATGTCTCAATCACTTCTTCCTAGTGCACCAGGCAAGCCTTCCTTGGGCCACTTCCTACCTCCCTGCTCTCTCTTTGGTTTGGGGCATGATCACAGACCCCATCCCCTTCCAACAGGAAGTTCCCAATCAATGTCAGTGTTAGTTGGTCAAATAAGTATTCCCCCAGCTCCATGGGTGGCAGGCGAACCCTCCCTTAAGGGAGGCTACCCCCCACCCCTGCCTCTTCTGCCTGAGGCCCTGCCCACTGGTATTCTGAGCGCGCCCCCCTCCTCACTCCCACTGGAGCATGTTCCACAGCTGCTGAGGGGCAAGTCCCTTAGGCCTGGTCTACATTACACAGGTTGATGTAAGGCATCTTATGTCGACCTAATTATGTCAGTGTACACACTACAGCCTTGTCCCGCTGATGGAAGTGCCCCACTACAGCTACCTAATAACTCCACCTCCAGGAGAGGCGTAAGGTTTATGTCGGTGTAGTTAGGCCACATTCTTTACATGGGCTGTCTTGTCAATTTCAAGGCTCTGTCTGTAATCCCCATCACAAAAGATCAGTGCTTTAATGTGGTTCAGAAATGTGGTGTGTGATAATGCATTTAGTCCCATATACATAAGTGAGATCACGCTGCGTCTATGCCTTGTGGCTAGGGGAATATAACGGGACCCCTGACATGGAGAAAATTCCTTGTGTAGATGGGTGCTTAGCACCTGCCTGTTGGAGTGAAACCTAGGAGCAGTCCTGATGGGAGACATGTTCCCTTGGGGCCGGAGCACCTCTAACTAACCGAGGTTCAACAGGGCTCTGCTGGCTGGAGCCCAGGGGGGAGTAAAGGCTAGTTCAGCGATGCTCTCATCATGCTGCTTTGCTCATGAGAGGCAAGACGGCTCTGCACGCGTGCTACGGTGCCCACCCCTCCCCCAGCACCAGCGTCTCGCGCCGGCAGCCTGCCAGGAGGACAACCGCCACCGCCTCTCCCTCCCACGTGACACCACGCGGTAGTTCCCCGCCCCGCGCGCCGCATTCAAACGCCGGCCTGTTCCGGGGCGTGCGCGCGCTCGGTAGACTCCTCCCCTCCCTCTCTGGGGGGGCTTCTCACCATGTCAGGCAAGGAGCAGCAGCACCAGACCCCCGGCGCGAGAGCGGGGCCGGCGCGAGACCAGGAGGCCGCGCGGCTGCAGGTTGGAGTAGAGCCCCGCCCCTTCTCGTCCCCACGCGCGCTGCTGTCCTCGCGGAATCACCAGCGCCTGCTTCTTTGGGCCGTGGTGGCGGCCGGTGGAGCGGTGCATGCTGGGATGAGGGGGGGGTCACATTCTCTCCGGCCAGGGCGCCAGCCCAGGAGCGGGGGGCTATGGGCTGCCCTGGGCCCTCGGCGCTGTCACGGGAGCGGAGACGACCCGCCTCGTCGCCGGTTCCCGGAGTGTGTCGTGGCTGTGGCGATACGCGGTGTGTACCGGCTGGCCCAGCTCTGCGCGGCCGTGCGAGTCTCCCCCTCCCCGCCCGCTGTCAGAAACCAGGGCGAGCCCCTCCCCCCGGCCCCGCAGACTCGTCCCCAGCGCGACGAGCTGAAATCTCGCGATGTTTAAGCCAAGCCCGGCGGGCGGGGGCTTGGGCTTGGCTCCGGGGCCGGCGGCCTTGACCCGCCCGCGCCGCGTCTCGCCCCCTCCCCCCCCCCGCTGTCCCCGTCTCGGGCCGAGCCTGCCGGGGTAAGGGCCCGCCTCAGGCTGGGGGAGGAGCGTCAACGTGATGCCTGTGAACGGGCCGTGGAGCCCCGCGAGCCGAGACGGTGCCGCGTGTTCCGGGGCGGCGATTGGCAGGTGCCACCGGCAGGCTCTGCTCCGTCCTCGCCTGAGCGCTGCCCTCTGCTCCCCTGGCGCCGGGAGGGGAAACTTGAACCCAGGGAATGTGAACGTGCGATGTGGCTCTGGGTCAGCGCCGGGGCTAGGCGGTGGGAGCCCCGTGCGCTCTCCCCTGCCAGCACCGCGTGAACGGAGAGTGCCCGGTGTGACTGGACCTTAAACGGAGAGGATGTCAAAATAAGTGTTTACAAAACCTAGCCCATAGAAAACGGTTCTAGGGTTTTTATCTAAAATGGAAAGAGTTAACCAGGCTGTTGCCTGGCCGCCTTTGCAACACAAACATCTCAGTATCACCTGCACATTTCCCTAAAACATTACAAGGATGTAGTTTGCAGTTATTGTGAAGCAAGTAACTTGCGTCACGCACCCAGATTTCAGCGCAGGAAGGGGCTGCTTTTTAGATTAGTAGTGAAAAGCCTGTTTGTGCGGGTCAGTGCCAGAAAAAGTAATGCAGTCTGCCTTGTGGACTTAGCTCCTTTTATTTAAAATGCCTCGTATGTGCAGACTCATCCTACGGTAGTGATCTTGTTATGAAAACTTAGCTAGAGACTTGCAAAATTACAGAAAAATCACTGAGGCCAACTATTCTATTGAGTATTTTGTACAACTTTGCTACTGAAATAAGTGTGGCTTGCTGAATATTAAAAGGAGTTTCTGCTAACATAATGCTTTCTTTGTGACTTTGTGCAAATCTCATAGCCATTCTGTGCCTCAGATTTCCATCTGCATAATAGGTATATATCAGGGGCGGGCAAACTTTTTGGCCTGAGGGCCGCATCGGGTTTCCAAAATTGTATGGAGGGCCGGATAGGGGAGGTTGTGTCTCCCCAAACAGCCAGGCGTGGCCCAGCCCCTGCCTCCTATCCAACCCCCCTCCCACCCCTGGCTTCTCACCTTCTGATGGCTCCCCTAGGACTCCTGTCCCCTAACGGCCCCCAGCCCCAGGACTCCTACCCCATCCACCACCCCCAGCTGACTGCCCCCTGCTGCCCCATCCAACACTCCCTCTCATTCCTGATTTGCTCGCTGGGACTCCTGCCCCATCCAACCCCCCTGTTCCCTGCCCTCTGCCCTCCCCGCCCCCTAGCCACACCCCTGCCCCCTGACCACCACCCCCAACTCCCCTGCCTTCTATCCAACACCCCCTGCCCCCTTACCATGCTGCCTGGAGCACCAGTGGCTGGTGATTCTACAGCCGTGCCACCCAAAGCACCGGGTCAGGCTGTGGATCTGCAACTGCACTTCCCGGCTGCCCAGAGTGTTGTGCTGGCAGCGCAGTGCACTGAGGCTGCGAGGAGGGGGGACAGCGAGGGAGGGGCCAGGGGTGAGCCTCCTGGGCCAGGAGATCAGGAGCCAGGCAGGAGGGTTCCGCAGGCCATAGTTTGCTCACCTCTGGTATATATGATACAACCTACCCTTAACAGATATGTTGTGAAGCTTAATATATTACTGTTTGTAAAACATTTGAGATGCTTGGTGCTATAGAAAATGTTATTAAAGCCAGAATCGTAACATTTTAAAAATGTACAATTAAAATGGAAGTGGACTGGGTTTAGGTATATTTTGGGAAGAAATGTGAAACCAAAGCATAGAGTTGAGTCCTCCAACAAAGTGGTAGTACGTGTGTGTAAAATTATTTATGATGATGTTTCTTTCCTTTTTTTAAAAAATTTCCTTTTAAAAACTCAAATAGGAGGAGCTAAAGTCTCTTGAGCAGATGCATTCATCCCTGAGAGCCCTCCATCAAATGGTTGCCTCCTGTAATGAGGTAAACTGCATGCACATTTACAAAGTACTATGAACATAAATTCTCTTTGCCAGTTGGGTGTATCTAGGCACTGCATAACAATTAAACATGATGCGGAATGGGAAACTTTTTGAAATCTTGACAGTTTTTTACAGGACAGGAAGAGTGTTTCCCACCCAGCAGTAGTCCTGGTATCCTCACAGAACACCCCCTGGCAGTCTCTCCTCACTTATAACCAGGGGTAAAAAGCTTGTGTATGTGTGCTGACCACAAATGTGGCAGCATGGCACAAGGAGGGAGGCCTATTTAGGGTTTTATAAGTCATAACCAATGACAAACTGCATCTGGGGACTAATGGACCACCAGTGCAGATTCCAGAGTACTGGTGTCATTCATCCCAGTGAAACTGTGCTCAGTAAGCAATTGTATTCTGCACTAGCTTCCATCTCCAAAAAGTTTTTTAAGTTACTAGTGAATTGCAGGTAAGGATGAAAGTACTTTGTTAGAACTCAACTAAGCTAAGAGTTGTTATATGGGCTTACTGGCTTACTCTCGAACAAGTTGCCGTTCTTATGAAAATAATTTTTATTAATGTCTGCTGGTGTTCAGAGTTCACTAGAGATTCTCTGGAACATATAAAGGTCATAATGCAAGAATTCTCATACAACACCAGACTATTCTGACCTCTGTGACATAGGGATGATGCCTTCTGGGGCATCTCTAGTTTCCACTGCACTCTCTGGAGCATGGAACCAATTGATCTTCTATGGGATAGTACACTACTAGGCTTTATCTTTGCTAATTTAGTTTTGTTATATAAAAATTAGCAAGTATTATAGATTTCTAACTCATATTTTGGACTGAATTTTAGATCTGCTTGAAGACATCCTTCCTTTTCTAGTAGGTTCCTTTCTCAAAAACAAAATGCCTTTCTTAGGGAAAGGTTTGATCATGCATTAAAGCCAAGACTCTGTCCTATCTTACCTTAACTAATTGATCTGTTTTTGAAGAGAGACTCCTCCAACCTATTAAGGGGTGGGTAGGCACAATTTCCTAGTGGTGTCATGAAAATTTGTTGGGATATTTAGCTTAACTTTCCAAAACTTGGGAACTGATGGCATGATTGTTACTTGTGCTTTCTTTTTTAAATAGACCATAAATTCTCTTGTCCAGAATAACAACACATTAACAGGTTAGTATTATGCTACTGAGGTTTTTTTAAATCCGCATAGGGGGGACTACTTTTCTAAAGACTAGGAATTTCTTTAAAAGCTTTGGGTATGTCTATGCTGTAATTTAAAAACCTCTGGCACCAAGACTCAGAGCTCCAGTCACTTGACTTAAGCTCAGGCTGTGGGGTGTCAGGCTGTGGGGCTAAAAGGAGCAGTGTAGACATTCAGGGTCAGGCTGGCATCTGGGTTCTGAGACCCAGGAAGGGCTCAGGCTCAGGATCCAGCCCAAATGTCTACATGCTACTTTCAGCCCTGCAGCCTGAGTCTTTTGAGCCTGAGTCAACTGACCTAGGCTTTGAGACTTTGTGCTGCTGGGCTTTTATTGCAGTGTAGATGTACCCTTAGTGAAACAATTTGAAATCATGCTCTGTCTCTAGTTGCAGGTGTAAACACCTTTAAAAAGAGCTGCTAGGGAATTCATACTCCCCGCTATCTTTTTACTTTTAAAAAAAGAGCGTTTACAAAACCTAATTTTAATAGAAATGTGCTTGTGACATCTAATGTCAGTAAACAGTTTTTGTTTGATATGAATGTTTAAATGCATGCATACATCCTAAACACTGCAGCATTGTGCCAGTGCTTTCCTTGTGGTTTGAGCTTTGTGACCCTGGAGTGTTTCTTGTCGTCCATGTATCTCCTTCTGGCAATGTTGCTGTGTTCCACAATAGTGCTTTCCGGCAGCATTTGGCAATTCATTCCTTTCACTGTCCACTGCCAATGGGAATTCCACTGCTCCTGGCTCCATGGAGTCAGCAGAAAGCAAAGGTGTGCTTGGCTCCTGACTGCACAGCTAAGTAGTGCTATGGGAACGAAGAACCAAAACTATTGGCTAGGAGGAATGGAATAGGGTCAGTGAGAATGGGCAATAGAAGAGCATGGGAGAGGGAAATGGGGGGTGTTTTAGAAATTGTGAAAAGAACTAGAGAATAAATAAGGGAGATAGAGGGGGGAATAGAGAAGATGAGTTTTAGGACTGGATGTAAATAGATGGAGAGGAAAACTCTGATGCAAAAGACTCAGTGGAAGAGAGAACAAAGAAGGAAGAATAGAAGGCAGGAGTGAATGGAAGAGAGCAAGTACAAGCATAACTTTAAGGCTAAAGTGAACTATTATTCAGTTAATTAACACTCCCTCAAGGGGGAGAATGCAACTGGACTTATAGTTAATGTAATATTTTCTTTGTATATGCAGAAAAGATATGGCTCTTGGCTGCATATCACAAAACGGACTAACTTTTTGCACTTAATTCATCTTGGACAAGAATAAAAATTAATTTGAAAATTTTCATTTTTAATAATCTAAGATATTAGTGCTACAGTTAAGGACCTTTGTTCAATAAAAATTATAACCTTACCATATGAATTTAATTATGCATACTTTTAGCTGCACTCAACTATTGCTGTTTTTCTGTCTCTCTGCAAATGCTAGGACTCTAAATGCTCTCAAAAAAAGTAAATTGACCCAAAAATTAGAAGTTCTAGTTTTGTGGGAAATTCAGCTTGCAATGTCATTTACAGGTTGTTGATCTATTACTTTAGTTCTTGGGTGACACTAGAGGTTTAGTGCAGAAGGATTAATATTATTTAAGTGCCAAAGTCTACGTTATATTTTAATATGTAATTATGTGGACTTGAATAAAAACTCTCCTATGGGAACCTGATTCTGTTGTGGAAAATGGAAAAGAAGTTTCAAGTGTAGGTGACAACTTAAACCCCCCTTTTTAAGAGAAGTGTATACAATTACAAAAGTAATAGTAATCCTTACTGATACTCTTATAGTCATCTAATATTAATTCTTTCTACTAGGTTGCTTGCACTATACTGCAGCAAAGTATTAAGCATTTCTGCATAATCTGCACTCCAATGCCCTGTGTCAGTGGTTCCCAAACTGGGGTTCGTGAAATGTTACAGGGGGTTCTTGGGGAGGGCGGGGGGAATCCCTAATGGTGGACAGAGCTGTCCCTAGGGACCCTGGGCAGCCCGGCACCCCTGAACTTCCAAGAGCTAAGCAGATCAAAGCAAGCACATCTATCACACTGAGGAGATTTAAACTTCAAGACTCCTTATAAGAAATGAAAAGAGGTGAATATTTTTTGCTGTTTTTAAAATTAAATAGACAGCTAGTACTGTTTTTAAAATTATTATGAAGAACAAGTTTAAGCTTTGTTGTATAGTGCGTCATTTGCCTGGACTGCTGAAGACCTGAATGCTTGTGTAGGAGGAACTCTGAGTTGGCTTCTTACATCCCTTCATGCTGTTTCACATCTGATACTCCTTGATGAAACATAGGAGCCTTGTCTTATAACAGGCTTATTCAAAGCGATAAAAGCTACAAAAGTGAGATTTTGGAAGAGTGTTGCCGTTTTCATAATGTAATAAAAATACTGTAATGATAAACAATAAATAGTATGCAATAAGCATGTCATAAAAACAAATTTTATATTTCCAAGATCACTGCTTTTCTAATTTATACTTGGGTAAAGGAGAAAATCCCTGGAAATACTCATTTTTAGGAGGGGGTTCGCAAGACTTGACATTTTAGTGAAAGTGGTTCACAGGTTGTTAAAGTTTGGGAACCACTCCCCTATCTTAATGCAGACTGATATATCAAAACAGGGCAACACATGAATAATCCTTGTGGTATAACTCTTGGGCCTAACAATTAATGGTTCACTTATTAGTAGCTAAGCGTAGCCATAGAGCATTGTTTTTTTAAAAAAAGTCTAATCTTTGTTTTACATTTTAGCACTGTGACTGCTCTTAAGAACTAGTTTCTTTACTAATCTGTTTTGAAAACTTGCATGTATTGTAGGTGTATTAAAAGTGTTCTAAATGCTGACTCTTCAGTTGTAGTGATTTGAAATATAGGGCTAAGAAAATATATATACTTTGTTTCCATTTAAAAAAAACTTCTCTCTTTTAGACATGAATAAAGGCTGGCAGATTTTCTTCACTGGACAGAGAGGAGATTTAAAGTAACTTGTTTCATACTCCTTATGCTATATTTTGAATGCTTTTTAAAAAAGCACAAGTTGGAAATCAAATTAATTATCTTGAAGTGGAATCTTGCTAAACCCTCACGGAATTGTTTGTCATTGATTCAACTGGATTGAACATATTTGCAACTACAGGCTTGGTCATCAGCCATAGACAACAACTTGGAGCTGAAAACATCCCATCAACTGTAAAGAAGATAGATGTTTTTTAATATTGGACTTGAAGTGGCTTAACAACGAACACACCTTAAAGTAGTGGACTCACTGCAACCTCATTTTTGTTATTTCTGAAGTGTCTTATTACATTCTTCATTTTCTAATTCCTGTCTTGAGGTCTACTGCTTACATTTTTGTTTACATAAATGACCTGTTTTATTAAAATACTCTGGCTGTCAAGGTACTCACTTCTTCAAATTGAAACTTGCAATGGAGGAATTTTACAAGCAGTGGGAATGCTTCATAGCTATGGAGATTACTGACCCTAGCAGTTGACTTCAGCATGTTGTCTTCTGTCCACAGGATATTAATACTAAAGGTAATGCACTATGAAGGAATATTTACTTATCAGGTGTGCAGTGGTGATTGTATCTATATACAATAACATGCAGCACCAGCCCCATTCTTCCAACATTTTAAAGCCATGATCAGTAATTTGTATTCATCCATGCATAAATTGCATGAAAGTTGGCCAGTTTGGTCGAGGGATGGAGATATTAGCTAAACTTGTTCTAAGCATCACAGCTGTAAAATGGGTCAGAAAACCAAAGATGATAGCCTGTCAATTTCACTGATATTACATTTCCTAAAGAATCAGATAAAACATATAAAGATGGTTCAAGTATGTAAAACTTTGATCAATTTAAAACATTGCCTTTAATATCTCACTCATGATGGATGATTTTCTATGGATGTTTCCCTCCTGTTCTCTGATAACCTTCACAGGTGGGTAGGTCTTTACTGCAGGGATTTGAAGCAGCAGAACTGTCAGTCAAGGAAGCAGTGCCTGAGGGGACCTACTCATCAACTGATAGTCTCAAATTATTTTGCTTCCAAGTAATCTGATTTATGACACCTATGAGTTGTTTGCATTCTTTCAGTAGAGAACCATTATTTCACCGTCTTTTGGTGTTTTTTCAAGTCTGCTCTCTTCTGCTGAGTTGGTCTCTCCCCTCACAGTGCTAAGTGTCCTCCTCTGCCACAACAGCCAGTGATGTGTTTGATTTGCAGAATGGCTGATGAGCCCACTTGTGTGTGAAGTGCAACGTCTCCCACAGCATGACACGCAATAAGCTTGTTGCATCCATTAAAAAACAAACATCTGAAACTGAGCACATTTAATTTTATAGTGAATGTTTAGAAGCTTACACTATAGATTTACATGTAGATTTTAGATTAAAGAATTATGAGTTAAGTGTATTTCTGACCAAATGCCCATAAGTAGCCTGTCTGCCTTCTTTGATTAAGTGAAAGCTTGTCTTGCATCTAAGTCATTGTTTCTTAAACTAGACTTCTCTACTTTTTAAAAAATCTTCCTCCTTTGAGTTCATCACTCAGCTTGCAAGAACTCAATGAGAAATTATTGTTGATTTTATCACATCAGGATAAACTGCAACAACAAAAGCATCAACTGGTTCACTGGGGTATGTTCCAACAATTAATACTGTAGATCAGTTAAAGATTAGGAACCCAGCCAAATTGTACAGTAAATTATCTATTTTCACAAGACACATTTATCATCTGTTTTGAACCACTCCATAGTAGCACTGCTTTAGAGCCAAATCCTGCTGTAATTAAAGTGAATGACAACATTCACTTTGTCTTCAATGAGATCAAGATTTTGGCCTGTAGGAAGTTCAATTACATTTAGTACAGTGATTTCATAATCTAGGTACATCACAATGTGTGTGGGTTACAGCGTAAAGATCTACATAAACCTGCAATTCCATTGCTGTTGTGAGTTTCTGTATTTTAGTCATCCTTTTCTACTTTAGAAAATGGATTCTTTGTCCACATAATTAGTCCAGTAGGTAACTGTTGACTTAGCTTCCTAAAATTAAAAAAAAAAAAAAAAATTAAGATCAGAGATGTATACATTTATAACTGTATTGAGGCATTAACCTACATATGTATTAGGCTGCATATTCAACATTTTTGGTTGAAACAGCTTGTGATAGCATGTCGTAATACTTTGTTATAAAATTTCTATTTCTCTATTGTGCCACCTTGCTTCATGGGAGTAGTAGTTTGGGTTCCCATTCCCACCCCCGCCCCATAGGCTGAGCTTCCTTCCCAGAGTACATCTCCCAGCATACAACGTGGTCACCCCTCTGCCCAAGTTGTGTGGTGTGCCTTGAGTCTCACATCACTTCAATTGCATCATTGGTGATCTAGTCTGGCCAGGTGGCCTGGGCTATAACGGAGAATGGGGAGATCAGACAACTCCCATAAAGCCATGCAACACACTAAGGAAATGGAAATCATTGTTGAACTGACTCTAAATGAATTTTTTTTGGAGGTTCAGTTCAGCTAACCAAAATGAAACATTTTTGATTTGGGAATGTTGAAACGTTTCATTTTGATAAAAAATGAGAAACTCTTTTGCTATTTCCAAACTGATTTTTTTTGGAATTTCCATTTTGCAAAAGAACTGATATTTCAATTTTTTTGTCCCAGTTTGGGATAAAAATGGTAAAGTATTGGAATTTCTCAAAGGACAAAAATTCTGAATTTTTGCTCCACTTCTGATGCCCCCAAATAAAACTATACTAGTGGCCTATATATGAGCAAAGGGATTTTTTAAAATGGGAGATTGTCAAAGCTAAAGCTGTAGGCTTTACTTTAAAGTAGAAGATGGCTGTAGAAGCCCATCCTCTCATTCTAATGTTTGGCAGAGATGTTGGTAACATTTAAGGTCAGGGTCCTGCAGTCTTTACTCATACAACTCCTACTGAAGTCAGTTGCAGGGGAGGAGCGATTCCCTTTGTAAAAACTGGGCACAATGGGACTAGAGTAGTAGGGGATTGCTTTGAGATTTGCACATAAAACAAGATGAAAAATCCCTCTTTCCCAGTAAATATTGGTTTTAGTCTCCAAATTTGCTATGATAGTTTTTCACAGGAGAATTTAGTTTTCTATTTATTTTTTTGGGACAAGATTTAATAACTTTTAGATGGAACTTATTAAAATATTCCCTCTTCAAACTCTTTCACTGTTTTCCTCGTATTTCTGTGGTTCTCTAAAATTAACAAAAAAATTCAGGTTTTTCATTTCACACATCAACTCCTCTTTAAGCTGATATAGGTGTACAGGAATGGGAAATATTAAAGTTATTGCAGTAATTTGTCACAGCCAAATGGTTTTGCCAAAGAAAACTACTGGACACACTGACTATATGTCATCCTCCACACACTGTTACAGAGCTAGAGAAGTATGAAAAAAGTGTTTTGTACGGTGGGACAGAAAGGAAGAAACGGAAGTGTGGAGAAGACATGGGGAAACATGAATGTTGGGGAGATAAATAGCCACAATAAGGGAAGGCGGAAATACAGAAGTATAAGGTGGGTGAGCACTAGCACTTTTCTGTCCTCTTCCCTTGATAGACAGCCCAACATGGGGCACCAGTACGTGGGTGCTGCAGCCTGGTGCCTTGGCCGGCTGTAACCAATAACCTTAGGCTTTCCACCAGGAGAACATCTATAGCTCTTCTCTGGCTCAAAGTGGTTTAATTCTCCAGCAATCTGCAATCGGTCCATCCAGTGGAGAGGGTAGTAGTACTCCCCTGCTGCCTTCTAGCTGTAATCTCCCCATGTTCCCTAATATCTTTTCTCCCTCTTCCCCAGCAGGCCCACTCCCTGCCTCATGCTCCATATGTCCTGCCATGCCTTGCTCACCCCTATAACTTCCTTGTGATGCTCTGATAAACCCACCCCTCATTGCCCCAATATAGTCCCACTCACCCTGAAGGCTACTGGCCAGCAAAAGGATTGGAAGCAAGGGTCTTGCTCTGATGAACCTCTTAAAGGTGGAGAAGCTTTCTTGGTGGTGAACCCTAAGACATTTGCCAAACCCAGACTGTGTCTTTGTTGTGGCAGGGTATGCTGGGCTTGTTAGCATAAGTAACTGCAAATTCAGTCCTCCCCTCTGCCTGACTTCCCACCATTTCAAAGGGATAAAGCAGTGGATGAATGATGCTCCTATAGAGCAGTTTAAGTGAAAAGAAGGATCTCCCCCCACCCCGCCAATGTCTGAGTTTCTGCATGTATTTGTTGGTCACTTGGCCAAATTTCTGACCTTTGTTCTGTGTTTACAGCTTCCACTGATCTCAAGGGGAGCCCTCTGTGTGCATTGGAAGGTAGAATTTGATGCTATAATAGCTCTGTTCTCAGAGTATTACAAGGAACTTTTAATCTATGGGGTAAAAGTGTATGACAGCTCCTCCAGGCTATACAGCACTGACCTGATGGGGGACAAAAGAGTAAATAAAAATACATGCCACATCTGGCTTTTTCAGAACCACATCTTCCATGGTAAGAGAGAGGCACAGTGATCATTTCTTGTGGGGCAAAGGCATTGTTGTTGTATTTCTGATCCTCCAAACTGTAAGACACATCCAAAACATCTTTAGAAAAGCTTAGTAGAAATAACCAATCTAAATAATTTCTCAGTGTATTTATCTGTATTACAGTGCTATGGTAGCAACCTCATAACTATGGTTGAGATAGATTTTCTGTTCTAAACTTATGATTTTTGCTTTTCATTTTCTTCTTTTGGATACAGAATATCCAATCTTTTTCTCATACTCTCTTAACTTTTGGGTGCATTTTAACTCCAGAATAGATAACATGGATTTTATTTGCACATGAGAACAGTTGACTGGTAAGAAATATATTAACAAGCATTCCTACAGTCAGATAAACTCGATATCAGCTTGATTTTAAAATTTCCAACTTGGTATGCATGGCACATAGTCCTGGATGAGGAGTATGTGCTTTGCTTGAAGAGATCTAGTTTCAAAATAACAAAATTATGGACATTTTAAAATGTATCCTGAGTTTGCACAGCAGGTTTAATCTTAACTTCAGAAGCAAGCACCAGGGTGTGATGCTCTGAATATTCACCAGCGAGGGTATTTGAAAGCTCACACCTACATGTATTTTAATGTGTGATCACTCTTAAGAACTGCAATGTTTCAAGTAAAATTTACAAAAGGAATAAGGGGATGGAACCCTTATTATATATCATATAACAAATTTCTATTTCCAGTCTAAATTAAAGAGCATAGGCAAAGCATGTAGCATACTCACATTTCAACAGCTCCTTTATTTTCATGTTGTTTCTCCTTTGAATTGTTTTTCATTTCTTTAAAAACTAGGTGTGTTTTGGAGAAGCCCCTGTGACATTGCTCATGCGGTTTCCTATCTAGCAAAATGGGAAATGTGCTTCCCTCTATTCCTCTTTCAGTGGAGCTGTTTCCAGGTTGTTTATGATGACCTGGAAACAAGTATTCCATCTTGGGATAACAGAAGCACAAGAGGAGGTTACACAAAGCAGCCCTGCATTTTCAAAGCAGAATACTGCAAATTGTTCTTGTAAAAAAAAAAACAAAAAACAAAAAAAAACCCCAAATGATATTGGAAACAAGGCACCTGGCAACATAATATGTTCAATTCAACCTCATATTCATATTGTGATTCATATTTGTTAGTTACTAGAACTAGATGATCCTCTTCAGACAGATAGCAGTTTTAGACTCTAAAGGAGACGCTCTCCCTGCTGTTCTGTGACCACTACTTCAGCTGGAATCATGCCAGTAGGGTCATACTCAGACCTGATATCCAGTTGAAGTGCCTATAAAATCCAGACCATGATATAGCTCAGTGAACCATGCAGGAGACACTTTGAAAGAAAAGTTAATGAAATTTCCTTTTCAATCCAGCATCATAAATACCTGAAACCAGTGTAGTAATAAAGACCATTATCCAGTGTAAGATACACCCTTCGTGGACTGTGATGCTTTTTGGTATTTTTCAATAAACAGGCATCTCCAGTCATTTGGAACAGAAGAGAAATTATTTCCTTTTAATTTGAAATAACGTTTCTTATTTATGCTAATAATCTGTCATACATCAAATGGGAATGCAAGAGATGATTTTTACCAGAATTAGATTGGCTTATTCCCTCAAAGTCTCCCTTCAGCTTTCATATATTTCTATAGCTTTTATTATTAGAAAATGAATCTAGTGCCACCTTTTTATGGCATTTTATAAACATAGGGCCTACTGCCGATTCCATTGAGTCAATGGGAATTTTACTTTTGACTTCAGTGGAACCAGGATTGGACCCGGAGGGGGGAGGGGGAATGTTTCTCTGCCTTGAAGAGTTTTTGCATTATTTTAGCCATAACACATAACTACAATGTTACAATAAGAACTGTTAGAATTATTCATAACAATAAGACCACCAAACCAGTTTCCTGGGTCGGAGAGTTTTGATTAGCTCCTTGTGGAACCAGACATCTTTAGAATATAGACCCCTCTGGTTGCTCCGTTGCCCACTGGCCAGCTAGAAGGAGACAGGAGCCAATTATCTTCTTGCTCCCCACAATCTCTAATTTAAACCTGTGTCCAACATTTCTTGAGCCTGGTTCCCCATTTTAGCTGAACTCACCCTCCCTCTCCACAGTTGTATAGGACCTGTGTTTTTAGGATGTTGTGGATCTGACCAATCACCTGGGTCAGGAAGGAATTTTTCTTATCAGGGCCAAATTGTAGGTGATTGAGTTTTTTTCGTCTTCCTCATAGCCTCACGGAGACACAGTTAGGTTAAATAGGAATAGGACTTAACATTAGGAATTGTATGACTACTTAGTCCATTGCAACTTGTAGCTGGTGTCCAGTGCAGATAAAAGGCTGAAAGGGCCAGCACCCAGAAATAAGAAACCTGGAATTTCACTGATGGACCTCAGGCCTATGGGGAAAAGGGAGACCTGAAGTCTGCACAGAGCCAGGTCCTTCTTTGATACGTCTATCCTCTTCACAAGGAGGAGAGTGAGAGGATTCAGCAGAGCAATCTGAATCCTAGGGGTAGGCAGTGCAGAGTCTTGCCTGTGGTATGGGCCACATGATAGGAGCACTGTAAACCCCACATTGGATCCTCTTCTAGGCCTGGAACAGGGAAACAGGGCAGTAACACTGGGGAGGGGTGCTAGGTTTAGTAAAGTTTTGGCCTGCTGTTTAAAATCCATCCCAATGTCTGTCCTCAGCCACCTGAATGTCCTGATCGAGTCATCCAATGAATTCTAACATATGTATTAAAATAGATTATTCACTTATACATTTTGTCATTATTTGACCAGCTCTATAGATAATGGAATAATAATTTGTATATGATTTATTCTATACATTTTCCCCATTAATTGCTAAATTATTTATTAGCAAATAACTTTTTGACCAGTTGTAATTTCAGACAGACAGACAGGAAACTGCTTATGGTGAAGTAAGATACAGACAAACTCCATTTATAGTGAAGTAGAATGAAAGTTCCTAACAGTTTCTGTGCCATGCAATGTGCAAACTGCAATTCCCATTACACTGAGCCTCTGCTAAGAGTAAAGGTTTTCTATTAAAAAAAATCAAAAACAAAAACCCAATTTCATTGTAAGTGGGCTTCACTGATGACTCAAGATCTTAATAAAAACTGGCAAGTGTACAAAGGAGATGTAAAGAGAACTTTCATGCACAAAAAAGGTGGCATACTCGAGCCCAACATTTTAAGATTGCAGTGTTTAGAGTTAGAACCTAAAACCCATATTTAGGCAATTAAACAAGTGACTTGATTTTCACAAGTGCTCAGCACCCACATCTCTACTGAAAAACGGGTTACTTATTTAGTGATTTAAGACCCTGATCCTGCAAACACTGATGCATATTTGCAGTATCAAGGCTTAAATATGGATTTAGGAACCTAATTCTAAAACATCCAGGTCTAGAAAGATTGGTCCTACTTCTCTTCTGAAACACTTAATGCTGTTAACAGTAGTAGTAATCTATGCAAGTAATGTCCAAAAGACTCAGAAAATGTTTTAGTGAAAACCATCTCTTACACACAATTGTATACAACAACATGTTTTTTAAACTGTTCTGTGTGGAAAGTATGCTTCTAACAGAATATATGCCTAGGGGAAGTCGCACAATCTTTATTTTACAATACATTTATATTATTCTACATCACTGCTCACATTCTCTTGTGTGGTGGGGACTTACGTGGTGGGGACACAGGTCATGTTCGCACTATACCTTTTTAAAGTTGTATAACTAGACTTGGAAGGATAAAATTTTTATCAGTAAACGTCAGTAATCATCAATTTTATCATCCACAGTCCCAAACACAAGAAAAAATATTTCCATCAATAATAATCAAAATGGGCAAAGTAAGAAAAATTCTGCTTGAGAACTTATACGTTTGCTTTAAGAATATTTACTCTGTGTATTTTGACATGTGATGTTGACAATTTGTGTTTTACTGGTTATAAAAGCTTTAACTTTTTGAATCTCAATGTCTATTGTCATTAAATAACCACTGTCTGACCACTCTCATTGTCTGGCCCCTGTGTAATTTCCTGCAACTGTGAAACCTTAAAAACAATAATGATCTTAAAAAAAAAAAGCTTTCAAATAAATATTGATATTATTTGTCAAAATTATAAACAAAAATCAAATTCTGCCAAGCCTAGGTATAACCAAGTCCCCTAATAATGCCTTACTCCATTCCCCTGCTTTTAGCTAACATGTAATACTGCAAAGGAGATTGAAAATGAGGGAGGAGAAAAACTGTGCCCCCACTAAAGTTGATGGGAATTTTGCCTTTGACTTTAATGGAGTCAAGATTTCACCTGGGTTTAGTTTATTTAGTTTGAAGTTTATTTTAGCTGTTAGGTAAGTAGGAAGCTAATAGTGCGGACTGATTCAGGCATAATACATATAGGAATTGTGAAAACTTCCGCACATAGTTCTACTAATGACCCTCTGGCCTGAACCCTAATATTTCAATCCTGGGCCTCTACAGAGACTATCAATTGTAACAAATTGTGTGGTGGTTTTGTAAGGTGAAAGGCCAGTGCACAAATCCACATACCTACCACTGATCTGTCTGATACGCAGTCTGGACTTTGAAGCATACTGTAAAGCTTTAAAATAAAATCATATTCTAGGCATGTAGCATTTGTAGTGACAGTCAAGAAAAGCGCTTTAGTTATTACTTTGCGTTGGTGAACTATTCATTAAAACACTTAAGAAAAACAGCATTAACAGTAGTAGTAATCTATGCAGAAGGTATAGATGATAGCAATGACCATTTGACTACTAACCAGATCACGGACACTGTGCTCTTTTTCAGCAACTGCAAACTGGCCATTTTTCTCCAGCAGCCTGTTCCAGGTAGCACCAAACAGAGAAAAGCAAATTTAGAAGAAAGCAGTGAGGATCATCACTCTTTAAATACACAGCAGATGTTATCATAACTAGAGCTGAGCAAATATTTAATTTTTCAAACTGGTGGCCATGCTAAGGGGGGGAAAAATCCCGCTTTGGTTAATTTCAAATCAAAACTGAATTGTTTTTTCTCACCAAAATGAAAAACTGGAAAAAATAGTTTCAGACAGATTTAACTTGAAATGAAACATCATTGTGAAATGAAACATTTTGACGTTATTAAAAAAATTTCCCTCTTTTTTTATTCAGCTCTAACTCCTTACTGAATATGACCTGAATTAGAGGATAGATTTGGTCGCTCCGAAACTACATTTTTGGGCATATTTACCATTCTCTAAAAAAAAATTTGCCCAGCTCAAATGATAACTCCTAAATAGTGTTCTTTGAGAGTCACCTCTGTCCATTCCCACTTACAGATATGGCATCTGACATTGAGATACGGAAGCACCTTGAAAACTTGTGTCTGCTGGGAGGACACATGAAAGATCTTGTGAGAGGATGACATCATTGCCCTACTTTGAATGAAGGACTGCAACTACCTCAGTTCCTTCTCCCTAACTACCGACTGAGTCCTCATGTTATATAGAGCTCTGGGGCAGAGGAGAAGGCAGATGGGTAGTGTGACTGCACAGAGATGACTCTTGAAGAATGACAGTTCACTTTTCTTTCTTGTTTGAGGCCCTCTGTGCATTCCCACTTACGGGAGATTAGCAAGTAGTGTCCCACCAGATGGAGGGTGGATGAGGAGTTCTTAGATAAATATGAACTGTAGCATTGCTCTCCCAAACTGGTCATTGACACGTGATGTTAAATCCAGGGAGTAGTGTTGTAATAACTGGGGGCCTGCACAATTACAGTAAACGTGTTCTTAACTGTAAATACTGTAAGAAAGTTTATTAGCGGTCACAAGAACCTATAGCAACAAATGTTGATAGGAAAATGTGCAAAAGCAAGAGACTGAAATAGTCCAAACACAAAGGACTACTGATATAAAACTCAAGGCCTGTATTATAATTATGCCTGGTAAGTGTAAGACCAGAAATTAATGAACCAAAATTGGTGCGTTGGAAAGTACGCCTAGTGAGTGAACAAAACAATGAAGGAATGGACTATTCTGCCCACTGCTACTTTTTGGGGGTCCTAAAAAAGAGATGGTGGGCTGAAAATTAGCAGAGGCTACTGGAATGCTGGCTGGCTGAAAAAAAAGGGAAGAAACAAGCTCCATCATTTTCACCCTTGCCATGTCCTGGTAGCCTGGACCTTCTTCATCCTGATCCTGAGATGTCCTGACCAGACCAGGCCAAGAAAGAGGGACCCAGATGGCATCTCCAGTTGTACTGGCTACGTCTGAATCCCGAATACCACCTGGGATGGGAGACTTTATTCTCCCATCCCACCCATCCCTCGTGTGTCCTTTTCCTTCCCCCACCTTACTTCTTTTCTTTCCTATCCCTCTCCTTTCGTCTAATAAAAGTCTGGCTTAGCGGGCCAAGACTTCATATTTTGCAATGCTGCTATAAGCCTGTGACTAGAAAGAGGCCATTAAATACAGTGCCCTAAAAAGTCATACTGTGGTACAAGTCTGTCAGGTCTCAGAGGGTATGTCTCCTCTGCAATTAAAAACCTGCAGCTGCTCTCGAGGGGCTCGGACTAAGGGACAGTTTAATGACTGTGTAGACATTTGGGGTCAGGCTGGGTTTTAGGACCCTGCAAGGTGGGATGGTCCTAGAGCTCAGGCCCAAATGTCTACACTGCAATTAAACAGACCCTTAGCTCAAACCCCGCAAGCCTGAATCAGTGGACATGGGCCAGCCACCAGTGTCTAACAGCAGCGTAAACATACCCAGAATGACTACTAAGACTATGTGCTGTGCCTGTGTTTTTCCACCAGTGAGGTTACAAATGAGAGTCGACACCAGAGACAAAAGCTGCATGGCGGCTGAAATGGCAGTTGGGCACTTAAGTCCCCCTTGGAATCCCATCTTTAGTTTATCTGCCTTGGAAAGATGAAGGGCTCAGCCAGCCCTCCTAGGATTTGTACCAAGGACTCCAAGGAGACTTGGTATTCCAACCTCACGTGTAGACCATTAAGTGACTTATGAACTATATCAGCTAACACAGCTGTGTGTTAAAAACAGAAAAATACAGCACATGAAAATGTCCCGACTTAACTTACACAAACATCTTCATACAGTTTGTTCATAACATTAACTGACCTCTTGGAAGACGTCATATTAAGAAGGGCGAGATGATACATATGATGCAAGTAAATCAGATGTCGTTCATGGTGGAAATGCTTCCCAGTCCTTTTGAAAGGTTTGCGCTGCAAATAAAAAATAGCATGTAACAACTTATACAAAGTACGAGTTTATTGAGCAGAAGGTTGAAAATTCAAAGCAACTTTTATATTCAGGAAGAATGAAAGACGATGATTACTTTTAGGTTTCTGTACTAACTCTTACCTCCTGAAATATCTATGCACTTGATTCATTTGAAAAAGTTTTGAGCTTTGCACTCAATAGGTCCTACTACCAATACTGAAACAGTCTAATTTATTACAGTGACATAAACCCATAGTAACAATACAGAAGTCAATTTACACCTCGTATGTCAGATCAGCATGAGCCCAGTAAATTTTTAATTTAGTTTAATTTTCATCAAAGGAAACGTAAGTTTTCATATAACATACATTTTAAAAACACTGATACTTTTAATATTCACAGTCACCTGCAGCACACTTCCAGCTGCATTTAGCTTTCCCTAAAGTTCTAGCTGTCTGGTGCACTGAAACAGCTTATCCTAAGAGGTAGTGCCTTCCTCTTATTTTGATAAAGTTCATTCCTATCACTTTGTGGCTGGTCTGGTTACCCACAAGTCCACCCACTAGTACACTTCTCCCAGTTTGCATAGCATACAAATGCTTCCTACATTAATAACTACACCTGAATAATAATTTTTAGCTGTAATCATATTTTATCATTACATGGATCTCCTTTGGCTCAATCTTCTTCTAATTTATTCATAAGTTTGGCCTTCTTTGTAACCTGAACAATTCTCAACACCCAGGGATTGAGTTAGCCAATAACACTTCCATAAATAAAACAAAATAGAAAAGTTGTTTTATTTTTAATACAAATGGTTTGGTTTCTGGAGTTTTGAGCTACTTAAGGGCCCAGTCCAAAGCCCATTAAGTGAATTGGGGTCTTTCTACTCTCTTCAATGGGCTTTCCATCAGACCCTAGAAGCAGGATCAGTTTTTAATCAATGACTGAAGTAAATGGCCTGCTATACAGTGCCTTCCACATTCGACCCTCTCTGCAACCCCAATAAAAATCAATAGGCTTATATGAGTGAAATGAAGAGCAGAACTTGTCCCAGTCTATATGCTCAATGGACTGCTCAAGTACATTTAAAAAAAACTGTTCTCGTTACTTGTACTGTACCCCCATCATTGCATAGCCCTTGTATGTAAAAGACCAGACAAAAAGTCATTTCGAATACATGCTCAAAACAGCTAATGAAGTTATACACAACTTATATACAGGGATAAGTTGTAAATACCAAATGGCTAGTGTATGTGTTTTAAATTTTATTTAAGAAAAATTGACTTAATATACTATGTTCTCAATCCTCTAATGACCTCTGCATGGACAGATGCCTGTGCTTCAATAATCTGCCTATGTGGAGCTCATTGCAGGGTCAGAGCCTTTTATTATTCATATATATATGTATATGCTATGAAGCATTATGTACATTTATGGTGCAATTTAAATAACCATTTATAAAGGTCCATATACTGCAAAGACTGAAATGTGTGTAACTTTACATTGATTTCAGTGAGACTACTCATGTGCATAAAAGTTATACAATAGAGAGCAAATACATCAATACTCATCTACTGAAATAATTAAAAAAATAGTAATTTCTCCACCCTGAAGGAAAATTATTACGGTAAAAAAAGTCACCCAAAAATCCTTCCACATTTTGCTGACTAAGTTATTTTAACTGGTCTGGTTATGAAAAGGGTGTTTCTTTGTTGCGGACATTTCCTTTCCTTGTCTTATAGTTTTGCCTTTAAAGCCATGTAGACAGATACAGATGGACAGATAGGTGTTTTGTTTTGTTTTGAAAAAGCTTTTGTGGTGAGAGAATCACTGTAACCAAGGTTTCATTGACATGAATGGCAAATAGGCAAGTTTACAGCAGGATTAAGCTAATTGATTAGAAAGCCTGATTGTGTCCCTGAAGGGCTGGATCCCTGAAGTGAACTGCATGGACAGAGGCACTGGATTTAAAAGAAAGCTTAGAAGAAGGTACAGAGTTGGCCTTGTCATTTTGGGGGTAGGGTAGTGGGGGAGGAGCCTGGCTTGTGAAATAATTTTTCACTGACCCCCTCCCAAGTGTGACAGAATCCCATCCACCTTTGGCACCCCACTATGCACAGGGCCAGCCAGCCTACAGACTTTGGAGAGGGGCAGCAAGATAAATCTTTGGGATACACCCCACATTTAACTGACACCGAAGGACTAGTATGAACAGCCTCAACTCCCATCAGAGTCAATCAGAATGTTAAGGGTGCTCAACACCTTGCAGTGTCAGGCCCAAAATGTTATCATTCATAATTTGTAATCAATAAACCCACAGAGCAGCTCCTTTGTTTTGAGTCCACATTTCATTTTTCAGGAGCAAAAAAACTGTGTCTACAGGGCAGCCCTGAATATCAGAAATGTTAAGTATTGGCGAGCTTCTGACAGAAAGTCAAAACCAGCTCGCCTGGCTTTGTAGTTCTCTAATCAGCCAAGTAAAGGTGACTTGTGAATTTCAGTGGCAGGAAGCAGTTTATAGTACAGTAACCTAGCCCATTGTCTGGGCTTTTTCTGCTCAGCTTCATTACTATTACCATGATAAAGACAAGTGTTTTTTCTACTTCCCTTTCTTCCCCTTCAAGTCTCTGCTTGCTCTTGACTCTTCTGAATTTCACTTTGATACTTCGACACCTTGGCTCCTCTCCCAGACAGAATAATTACAAGGGCTCAAATAAACTTTTTTCTTTCTTTCTTTCTTTTTTCTGGTGGGGAGGGTGGGTGATGCAGAGATGTTGTGAAGATTTGTTGAAGGAAACTCACCACCTCCTGAGTTCTGGATTGCTCTTCAGGTCTTTTCTGCAATTCAGAAAGCCAAGAAAGCAGCAGCTGTGGGAAATAATTCAACTCTCAGATTTAGCATGAAAGAGATAACCAAAGTGGAGCTCACCAAATATGGCCCATAGCTTCACTCATCTTACACCAACAAGACCTCAAGCCTCTGCCTCGAGAAGTTCAGAAGCTGACAGTAATTTAAAGTAGCAGCAGAAAAGCCACAGTCATGTGATCCAAAAGTTGGATAGAATATCTAACTCAGCTGCCTTGTTCAGGTCTCATTCAGCTAAAGAAAACAGAGAGCTAAGATTTTAAATAAGCATGGTCTACTGCTGCAACTGCATTCCTGAAAACAACTGTTAGCTTGCTCAAGTGGTGTGATCCAACATATCTGAGCAAAGCAGTTAAGAGACAGGCTGGGGATTTGAAATATCCAGCTTCAGGGCAAATATCCTGATTCCGCCCATGTACATAGGCAGAGTAACTCCATTGACTTCACTGGTGAAACAGATCAGAATCTGACCTCATGTACAGAAGCCCCTAACCAGTCACATTTTAATTGAAATTATATAGAATGAAATAATTAGGCCAACTTGTGCCTTCGTGAATAGCCATGCAGCCCCAAGCACATAAATAAGGTGAATGGGTGTAAGTAACAGAAGAATTTGGCTCACTGGCTGCAGATAGGACATTATTAACATAAGGAAAAAAAACCAAAAGCATTGGTATTAATTTTTCAGTCGAACAGAATCTGTAACCTTGACAGTGGTTAAACCATATGACTTGATGGAAGGAAAGTGGGATTCTATTCCTGGCTCTGCCACTGATTCAGTGTCTGGCCCTGGGCAAGTCCCTTGACCTCTCTAAGCTTCAATTTCCCCTCCTGTAAAAGGAGAAAAATAACACGCATATATCTCCTAAGTATTAGAAGCTACATTTATTAGTGTGTTTATTAGATTTCCTGATAAAGTACATTTATTTTTATCCACTGACAAACATGGTACTACTATAATTTAGCACTTTGTTTCCAAAGCAATGCAGAAATATTAATGTCTTACTATTCAGTTGCCAATTTAAAAAGCAAATCCATTAAGAAATATTAATAAAGGGAAAAAACCCTCTGTGTTATGGCTCTTTGAAAGGGCCGCATTCCTAAACAAGACAGCAGCCCCTACCAGCCAGCTAGGACATGGTTCAGTAATGATGCAAAGGCAAAATGCCACCTATGTCATCAACATAATTTCCTAGGATGCCTGGACATTCTCTGGAAGTCTCCTATGCAAATACAACCGTGCTTAGCTTATGAGATCTTGAGATCCAGAGATCCCACGCTGCTAGGGCTGCAGACATAAATACACCAGAGAATAATCAATGTATTCTAGCTCACATTACACAAAGGCATATCCCAGATTCAAACATCACTGCTCTCTTCCTGACATCAGAACAATGAATTGCAACTTCATCAGCAACGTCCACTGCAGCTATTACAACAGTGGCAGAGAGAGAGAGACAGAGAGACAGACAGACCCACATACTCCTTTACTTCAATACAAAGCAAAGGTAGCCAGCTGGTGGAGAAAACTGAAAGGGCAACATAGCAGTCATTAAATCTCCAATCCATATTGCAATAGAAAACAATACACTGTGGAAATCCTGTATTCTGGTGACCTCATAAATCACCTTGATCCAAAATACATACGGACTCTAGAAACCAGCCTCAAGAGAAGTATTTCCCTCTCAACATCTATTTTATTTACTAGGGATACTGCCACTTATTAGGGAATGAGATTACAGAAAATAGATCATCGGATGCTGTAGCTCACGAAAGCTTATGCTCAAATAAATTGGTTAGTCTCTAAGGTGCCACAAGTACTCCTTTTCTTTTTGCAAATACAGACTAACACGGCTGTTACTCTGAAACCAGAAAATAGATCTTGTTGCTTTTTCTTTTTAACCTGTTTTCCCCCCTTACGCTGAATCTTTTCTAGAGTCTTGGGGCCTGATTCTCGTCTTACATTACTGTAGCTCTGCAGACTTCAACAGTTACTCCTGACTTACAGTGCTGTGAGACTGCAATCAGGCCCTTACGTCTTGACATGTCATCAGGCTAAGACATCATGTTATTTTATTTGTAATGCACCTAAAACCATTATGACAGAGAAAAATATAGTTTCTTAGTAAAATATGTTACCTTATATTTCTCACTACCTGATCTAAGAAATGTAATACATTGTTCTAACAACACAAGCAGCCCAGGAATTTTAAAGTTAATGTTATTTGTTCAGGGCCTCCCCCTATCCACAACATTTGCAGGCGTTGCCAATGTTTTTCATTTGAGGTGCTCCCAGAAGTATTTGTGCCAAGCTGTCAACCCACCGATATTCTGTCAGCTTCCTCATCAGTTATGCCAGGTTTCCAGAAAGAGAGAGAGAGGTAGCCCTAAATGAAAGGTTTTAGCACTACACACAATTTCATATTATTTTATCATAGTCCTATCAGGATCCATAGTCTTATCCACAGATCCTGAAGATCATGAATCTAGGAATGTTGGGGGAGTTTTTCCCCACCAAGTATCTGGTAAAAATTGGTTCCTGATAGGACTATGATGATAAAGTATTATGAATTTATACTTGACCTTTAAGGAAAAAAAAATCAACACTCCTTTATCTTTTCTCAGGGAGCTGTTTGGCCACATGTGTGTTTTGTACACCTTTCAGTTAAATCAGAGGTCCAAAGCAGGGGAAAAATACAAAAGAAAGAAGCATCAAATGGACTTACGGTACTCCCTTGGAGGAGTCCGAGTTAGTAAACCATTGAATGGCTGACAGACAAAGAAAAATATGTATATGAATTAGTGTAATAGACAATATAGATAATGTCCTTCATTTGATAAATAAATGAAGTTTAACTGGAGATTATAAATATGAGTTAAAATACTCCTTTTTTCTGTTTCTGAACATCACATGTGAAATTAAAAATGATGCTTTATATACTAATTAGGTAAATTATTGTTGAGCTATATATATATATATTTTCTTTTCCTTTCAAGCTGTCCTTTCACCTTTTTTAAAAGTTTGTCTCCTGCACTTATCTTTCATACAGGAACCCACTGAGCCAAATTCTGCTCCAGTTTATACTGGTATTTCTGAAATATTAGAGCATGATATTTTCTGTATTTATTTATTTTTTAAAAAATCACTAGATAGGGCAATAGATGCTTTCTTGGGCAGTTCTCACAACTCAAATCAGTTTCTGTAACGTAAATCCTCCAGTTTGGAATACACCATGAAGATGAATGCCTTTGCCAGATTTATCAAAACAAAGTCATCTGAAAATATATTGTGCATGTTCCTTATCTTTTTAGATGTGCCATGATGTGGCACCCTTGTTGCATATACAGAATGAATAAGCAGATATTTCGAGTTCCCTACCCTGAAAATAAATGGATGATTATTTTAACAAAGTACATATTCAAATAAGCACATGGATCATTTCAAATCAATGTTTGATAGACTTAAATACAGTTAAAATAAACACACTCAATATGTTTGAGAATCTCCTCAATCGGAGAACTCACATTTGAAACATTTGAAACCCTCCTACACATAAAGGATCAGATTTTACGACAGACCATTAACGTCAATGTCGTTATTCCAATTTACAGTGTTGTAATCAAAATTAGACTCTAGCTTCTAAATATACAACCAGTCGAACACAGGTTTTAAAATTTTCTCTTTATCCCTCTCTTAATCACAATTAAATAAAAACTAGACAAAACAAAACCACACACACTCCAAAGGCTCCGATTCAAATACATTCAAAATGTAGTTGCTACAGCAACTGTAATTTTTCCATGGCATCATCAAAGTATGCTCTCAGGTACGCTAGTGCCAATCTGTCATAACCACTGGGGCTACCCGGGAAATTCACTTGTGTAACGAACATCAGAATTTGCTGTAAGTTAACACCATAAAGTAATCCAGAATTCTGCATATGCACAAGGGGGCTGAGTTATTGTTGCTGTGGGAACCGTAACTATGAATTTCCTGGCTTGCATGTGATTCAAATTTCAGCTTTAACGCTGCATTAATGTAGCTTTTCACACTCGACAGGCATACACTATTTTTAGCTCAGAGATTCCCCAAATGGAATACATGGTTTCCTTTAATACTGAAACTTAAAAAAATTTAAAAAGCTTTAAAAAGAAACACACACACACACACACCAGACTTCACATTTTAACTACAGTACATTGACTAGTTCCAAGCAATTCCCCATCCACCCTTTTTTTGTTTTTCTTTTTACATTCAAGCTGGTGGCCAATATCTCAATGTACCTGAGACAGCTAATTTGAAAAGGAAGTGGTCAAAGTCATGCTTTTTTTGTAAACTTCAAAGGTGATCCCTCTCCTTCCTCCTCTTTACATTTTACTGTCTGGCTTTCTGCCCATCCTGCAGCTGTTAGCTAAGCCTGTGTTTCATGGCGTCAAACCTGCCTCCTCACGGTCCATAAAGTTACAGCAGGGATCGTGATATGCAGGTGTGGAAAAGGGAGAAGTGCAGGATGAGCCTGTTAATGATTTTTCTGGCACCCCATGCTGAGTTGCTGAAGAAAGAGAGCAGCTTGCAGAAGAGTGACTCTTTGTTTGCGAAGGTGTTCTGGGCCATATTACTTCTCCCACAGCAAAGGTGTTGGGTTTTTTGCTTTAGGGGCTGTTTACAGAAATGATTCACCTTTTATACAGCTTTTAAAAAAATGCTTTGAGGCTTTAATTAGACACAGGAATTCCATCACACCACTATGAAGACTTTTACTTTCCATTTAACCTCCCATTAGATGATTCAATGATCTTATTCAACGATATGTCCACACAATTGAGGCTGGTTGTTTAACAGAAGAAGGAAGACACCATCAAAATCAACTGGTGCTAGCTTATGTCACAAGCTTTAGTTGGAGTCCTAACACACATTTATAATTTGTTAATGTAGGTAGAGAATCCCAACTTTAAAAATGTTCATTTGCTGCTTTAAGATACAGCTAATAAGTAAGACTCT